TTTTTTTTTTTTTTTTTTTTTTTTTTTTTTTTTTTTTTTTTTTTTTTTTTGTAATGTAAATGACAGTTCAAATTATTTATAGAGAGCACAGATTATTTTTTTTTATATACATAAGAACTATCACTCAAGAATTTAATTACCTTAAAACAATGTGATGACACATCTTTTTTTTTACATCTAATCTCTAAAAAGATCATTCTATAGATTAGGTCTCAAATATATGGAAAGTTTTTGACAAATAGAGCCCATAGTAATATAAATAGAATATTACGTACATAAGCATATTGAATATGAATTGGCAGTAGGCATTATCTGAAAATAAGACTTCATAAAACATATCACAGATTGTATTTTTACTTGTTTGTTTATAAATATTGATCTATATATATATATTTTATTTATTTACTTATTTTGCTTTGTGCCACTTTTAATTGGAATTGTTGCTTGAGTATGTGTAAATGAAATAAGAATAGAATTCGGATCACATATCCAATTGACTGGCACAGACAGCCAAACAAATACCTACAGCAACATTCGATACGAATGTTCTTCAACTAAATCAACCTATTAGACATTTGAGACTGCCTTCCCTTTATAGCTGTTAATTGATAAGCACAATGGCTTTACTGCTTTCAGCCATATTTCCATTCATAGTCTGGACATTCCGAAAGTGCTAATGCCAGATATGTTTCCTTTCAATGTCGTTCCTATTTGTTTGCGTTCAATTTTTGCTACAATCGATGTATTACATAGTCCCAAGTCTGCTCAATCAATCAATCAATCCTCTTTTCATCTGATTTCTGTATATAATCCAATAAGAGAATAAGGATTCTTTCAGCAGTCAGTCAATAAAAAATTAAAATATAAATAGATATATATCGATATAATGGTAGCTATATCAGTTGATATCTTCTAGAATTAATTTAATTGAACAGGAAGTAGCACTGTCAATCAATACAAACAAATTTATATATATATATATATATATATATATGGAAATATGGGACGTTTTATGATATATACTTATAAGAAATGATATCAATTCAAGCTGTCGATTTTGGCGTTCAGTCTGTCAATAAAAACAGCTGAAAATATATAAAGATAAAGGGGGAGAGGAAGTAAGTGCTCTAAAAATAACTAAAGGCGGTCAAATTTCTTATTTGCCAGTTTTTATTATCGAGTTATGGAGTTAAATACGAAATACGCTGGACACAGGTCGCGCCTTGTTGTGGCCGTTATTATTGACATTATGCGCTTATCTTTTGAGAACACAATCAAAAGAAATTAAATAAAATCTACACACAGGCAAAGGCCCAGACTGCCGGGCGTAAACAAATGAAATCTCAAAGTACTCAATGTATGTATAATGGCTATATACATATATCATGTAAATTGCAATCGAACGTGTATAGAAATTATTAACTTTACGATTTACACTCACTTAATAATGCACAGCGTTTGTACACAGAGAGAGAGAGAGAGAGAAATGGAGAGAAGGAGAGAGAGTACTCGAGAAACGGACTGAGAGAACAATTTACAGGCATAACGATTCTCTTCAGTTGTTGTAGTAGAAGCATTTTTTGTATTATCAGCAAGGTTTAGGACCCCAATACCATGTTAGGTAGCACTGAGAGATAATGCATCTGTTGTGGCTGGGGCAATGCTGCGATAGATCTGTCTAAATGAGCAGCATGCTAGGCGATTTCGTAAACGAAAAACTAATTCGTAGACAGTGTGCTATAAAAGTTTTCTAAATGCGATAGTTATATACATATGTATAGCTGGAAATCGAACTTTAACTAACAAATCGAACAATTGAACTCTCTTTGTAGATCCAAAATAGTCATTTCATTAGCGGCTATCATCATCAGCATATTGGATCGGATTATGAGCCAGTGATTAACTTTGTTGATTCACCGCCAAACTCTGAGGAATCTTGGACAGGTAAGGGATCTCAGAACGAATCCAATTTAATATATACATATATACACACATATATATATACATATATACATATATACATCATTAATGACGTTTAACACACTGAGACTCATCGCATCCATCAAAAGCAAGGCAATTTGTGTATTCGTTAATCGATAAGTTTCGACTTCGATTTCGATTTCGATATAAATACAGACGGACAGTCCAAGGATTCACCAGGACCGCAAATTATCGACGTGAGAACAATTTACTCAGACAGTGGTTCGCGCAAAAGACGAATGGATTGGTACTCATTGGACATCGGTCAAAGTGAAAATTCACCGACAACTCAATCTGGCGAAATACCCAATAAGGTGGCACATCACGAGAAAGATAAACATAAACGTGAAAAGCATTCAGGTGAGACAGATCGAAAGAGCTTAAATATGGTAGAATATAAATCGAACCTTTTAATATTCATTTTAAAGATTATTAAAAACCAGTCTAGGACTAGATATATATAAAAAAGTTTCATTAAAAATTTCATATATTAATTCCGTTAGCCCACTCGACTACATGTATTCCAAGTGCCTCATCAAAAAGTCTTTGAAGCATCCGAAATATAGAGCCTAACATATACGGCAAAACATCCACGATAGTTTTTTCTTTATATTAAGATTCTACGCTTTTATCGCATTCAAAAACAATTAACAACTATTGATGAGTAAACCTGTTTGCTTTGTATTTAACGCCCAACATGCGCCATAGACTTAACTCTATCTCTGTAGAGCCGACAATCTGATTTTAATATGCCATGCTCTTGGAGAGCTATTTTTCAAGCCAAAGCGCAAATGTGTTAATTATTTGATGAACAAACATACATTTTTTGTTGTATTTGCTAATTAATCAATATCTTAGTGATATGTACGGGTTCTGATCGTACTCCGTGTGTTTCTGGCCATAAAATTGATTTTTATTGCTCACATCGTGAGGTAACATTTAAAACTTCATTTAGTTTGTTTGCAGCTTCAGACCAATTGGTAACAGTCTATGTGAAGTAGCCTATTCAAATATTTAGAAACTCCAAAATCAGATCAATAATATTAGCAGTTTATTCTGGAATATTCAATTTTATTTAAAAAGAAAAAGACAGTTCATACGATTCGGTATAGTATTTGAAATCGGAAATTCTAATAAAAAAGAATTAGGAATTAGGAAGAACTAGAAAGCAATTAAACTAAAAACCATCGAAATTTGTGAAAATAAATTTGATAAAAATACTAAATTATATATTATAATCATTAATTATTATTCTATAAAATATAGATTGTGGGCTCTCTTTAAAAAAGAGGCATATGTAATATCTATTTTTTTTTTTTCTTTTTATACGACCCTTAATTAACTTAGCACATACGTGCAAGACATGATGAAAACTGTAAGAATAGCTTCAAGTAGAGCTAATGAAATAATAAAGTATATAAATTTTATAGCTTTTTATAAAAGTTATATGTATACAATTATAGGTCTGGAAAATAACCAAAAAAAAAAAGCTATTAAAACACGCCCCCCTAGAGAAATTTAACATCATACTATATAGAATTCGATAAGAAATAAGTTAAGCTAAATAAGAGTTAAAGTATATGTATATATGTATATATTTATTTCTGGAATTCGACGGCTGGGTTGTTAAGAGTTTACGATTTGCCAAAATCACGCAAAGTCGGGCAACAATTGTCATTGGTCTAATTACAGCACAGCTCTAACAATGCTGATACAGATATAGGTATAGACACACATATATATGTATGTAACTATATACATATATATAGTGACAGAGACACACATAATTTTAACTCTTTCGCTGTTTTACTAAATCGTGCTAGAACGAGTGCCTATCGGGCGGTACTCGTGATGGCTTATCAAGAAATGTGAAATCAACACGACAATTGTCCGGCAGATAAGGCCGCAAAAAAAGGAAAACAAAAAGTTGTCGACGTTTTGTAGAGGCCGTAATTAAAGCAATTTGAATTTTTAGAAAATTTTGCTGCCATTAGTCGAGAGAATAGAAATACTTAATTAACAGCAAATAATAATTAAGTCTATGGCGTTTACTATATATATATAAGCTATATATACACATGCATAGATTGCATTCAGCATTCAGTTTACATAACGCTAGCGGCTTAATGATTTATTTTTCCATGGCTTTTTGTCCTCCAGACCTCGCCTTAAATTCTATTATTTGGTACTCGATCAATGTGAGCTCTTGAAATTTTATTATATACGTCTGACATTGGTGCAATTGTAGTGAAGTAATTTCCTCTTTGATTATAGGCAAATTATCAAGCCATGTGAAGAGCGAACGTATTGTGAATAGTTAAGTTAGTTAGCTAGAATTTCAAATACCCTGTAAAAATAGTTAGTGGAAAAAATTAAAGAGCAGAGAGGTTGAGAACGAGACAGAGAGAGGCAGAGAGAGAGAGTGAGGTAGTAAAAATTACGTTAGTATGATAGATAAGATGAATGTAAATGTAAATAAAGAGAGAGACGTAAACAGAAGAATAGAGAGATAAACAAACATATATGATAGAGGTCTAAAAAGTGACCGGTGTTATCATTGAAGATCGAGGAAAACAGTGAGAGTGAGTGAGTGAATAAGAAAGTCTAGTACGAGAGATTGCAAATGGGTCAAACTACATTGATAATAGATAAGTTTAAGCAGCTAAAAATACTATGGGAGCCATAAACATGATGAATTTTCAATTATAAAAACAGAAACAAGACTAACACAAATATTCAAATGTAAAAATATTAATTGTATAAAAACTTAAATGCAGATTTTTTTTTATTTTAAATAATATAATTATTGATAATTATTTGTTGATAAATAAATGTCGATTTTTTTTTCGTTATTTTTTTAAAATATATAATTATTGATATTGATTTGTTGATAAATATTAATATACTAAAATATTTATATACATTTAATTTTTATTTTTATTTTTATTAAAAAAAAACACATTTTTAAAAATTAGTTTTTATTATATTTTTTAAATTGTTTTCAGTGCAGTTAAAAAAGATCGAACAGTTCGATCCGAGTTTTTCTTACTTATCATTCTATTAGCGTAGAAAAACTATTTGCTTATATGTAAAATATTTTTTTATTTTTAGACGCCTCAAGTTAGAAAAAAAAAAATTGTTAAACAAATATTTTGCCCACTTTCTATTTGCATTTGACAGGTCGCAGCAGCTGGAGCGACGATATAGGTTTTGATCTGAACGCTGAGTTTAACAGTAACTCGTATTTGAACAAGTGAGTACAGGTGTTCATATGAATATACATATATAATGAAAGGGGTTTATTTATTTATATATTTTTCAATAATATTTCTTCTATTTTGCAGTGAAAACTTTTTATCGTTCTCCCCGAGCCTGACGGCACTTAAACAGGAGCCGCAAACGGAGCAGCTCAAACCGAACGCAAAGATAGCATTGGATAGCGGCAGCGCCGGCTCGTCAATTGGCAAAAGTGACAAATCGCCATTGGGCGAGGCGAATCACTCACCACAGCGCACGGGTCAGGAGATTGCAGCAGCAGCGGCATCAGGAATTGTAGGCGGGGCACTTGCCGAAGCTGGTGGAAAGCATGAGTTGAACTCCGTCAACATTTGTGGCTGTGGCTCGCCGCAAGGCTCGCCCGCCGCAGCGGATTTTGAATTGAATTGCAGTGGCAATGGCAACGAAGCCGCAACGGCTGAGCACACCCGAGTTGCAGCTGGCCGTGAGGCATTTGCCCAGGCGCGTAAGTAGCTGTTGCACTTCATAGTATCTACAATTTGATATAATTGCATCAATTGATCAATTGCAGCGCGCTCTGGACTGCAGCAGCAGCTGAGCGTTGTCGAGGCGGCCAAAATCGAGCCCTGCTCGTCGGCCGGTGCATCCCATGCAGAGGATCATAAGTGAGTGAACAATGCGAAGCAATGCTAAGCCGACTAGACTAAGAAAACTCTTAGCTGAGTCTCTTTTATGATAAGCTAGATAGTCATATCGGCAAAACATTGCCTAAATTTAGATTTAGTTTATAGTTTCCAGCAGATTTTAATTTAATTTGCTATATTATATATTTATTGTGAATTAAATTACTTAGTGTGAATATTTTATTGGTGTTAAACTAGTCTCAGATAGTTATTTATAGCTTAGACTAAACCCCAAAAGAATAGAGGACTTAATAATTTTTATGTAATTTTATATGTAATTTTTTTCAAAAAAATAAATATTCTCCTTGTATTTAGTATAAAAAAGTATATATATATTATGTTCAGAAATATTTTCTAAATTCAAATAATTTAATGTTGATTAAATTGATTTAATTATTGAAATTATTAAGGTTATATATTTTTGTATATTTTATTATTTTTTTATATATTATATATTTGGTATATATCATTAAATTTGTATATATTATATATATTTGATATATTTTTCTTTTTATATATTATATATATTTTTAATATTACTATATCGCATTTATATATTATACCCCATTTATATATATATATATATATATATATATATATA